ACAGATCTGTTAAAGAGAAGTGTGAAAGACAGAAAAATAAGACTGTTTATTCTTACTCAAGACACTGTGCAGATGTTTGTAGAATTGAAACAAGCTTTTACAGATATTATAATACTGAATCACTTTAATTCTGACTTACTCAGTCAGTGTGAGACTGATGTATTCAGAAATAAGATCTGTGAAATCTTTTCACAGTTGATATCAGAGATCTTTCAACATTAAAAGAATCAGAAAATAATCATCTCTGAGAATACAGATAATGAATTGTCTGTAAGAGAAGACTTTTTTACAGAGTTTATAAGATACTGTGAATAAAGATCAGTGACCTTCTTTTTCAAGAAGTTATCACTTATATAGAAAAGATATGATACTCATAATTAGAAGATATTAGTAATTATCAAATTCTTTAAGATCTAGTAATATTATCTTCAGAGTAGTAAGTACTCAGTGCAAGTTCTCACTGATTATACAAATCTGCATTACTTCTTGACAATAAAGAGCTTGATAGAATATTAAGTCAGATGAGTGAAGCTGCTTTCAGAGTATAATTTCTATATCTGATACTGTTCAGATTAGACTGACCGTGTGACCGTGTCTGAGACCAGAATCAGATTTTTTGATAGTTTCATTATCAATTCGACTGATCTCATTACACGGTTTTAACATTAGATAGTAGTCTCATACTGTCTCAGTGAAACTTACTGTCTACTCTTATCACATTTTTCAAATGAAATCATGATTTCCACTTCTCAATTTAAATTATTTTTATTGCTTTAAATGACTTTAAATCTCATTTAAGTGTTATCAAAAAGTGTTACTCTTTAAAAAATTAAAAATAGTCTAAAAAAAACCTTAAAATGTCTAAAAATAGTAACTTTATGCCAAGAATGAGACTAAATGAGATTAAATGAGATCACTTTCTCATTATTTTCAAGTCATGATTTCATTTTTAGATCTGATATATAGTCACTTTACATGTTTTTTTGATAGTCAGTCCCAGTGAGATTCACGCCAAGAAATGTATGAAATCAGATCAAATGAGATTAAATATGAAATTCATAATCTCAGTGACCAGTCTAGCTGCTTAACATAGTGCAGATAAGCAGGGCTCAGGTGTGTCGCAGAAGAGAAACTACAGATTAAGCTTCTCAGAGTCACTGTCTCTGAAACCAAGCTCTCCCCAGGTTCAGATTAACTTAATTCTGTCAATATACTATCTAGATAGCTTAATTATAATATCATTGATATGAAGAAGAATTCTATAAAAGAATCTCTATTATCACTGTAGAAGAAGTTGACTGCAGAGAGTTAAAGTTCTCTAAAGCTCAGAAACAGTGCTGATAAGATAGCTGTATATCTCAGTATAGAAGATGAAAGAAAATCTGAGTCTCTGCAGAGAACTGACACTGAAAATCATGAGCTTCTTATATTATATCTTATAATTATTAAATTAATAAAGAATGAAACTGTCTATAATCTTTCAATCTGACTATTTTTGAAATTTATTAATAAGTTATAGAAGAGAGATATCTCTACTACAGCTTAAATTCAGAAGTTAAAGAAGAAAGAATTCAGTTTAAACTTGAAAGAGACAGACTTTGAGCAGAGTGATATTACTAAGAAATCAAGTTACTGATAACTATGAAAATGTGAACTTCTACTACTGAATAATTCAGTCTTCATTTCTCATAGCAGAGCAGTGTGTCAGAAGTTATTGAGAATTCATTATAATAATTCTCATACAGAGTACTTCAGGTTAGAGAAGACTGAGAAGCTTCTAAAATATAAATACATTTGAAACAAGCTCTGAACAGATGTCAAAGAGTATATTAAGACTTATAGTATCTGCCCCGGTGGCCGAATGATTAATACGGCCACCCGGTAGCATCTTGGCGTGGGAAACCAAGGCATGTGGGTTCGAAACACGCAGGGGATACATTAAATCCGGAACTCAAGCATCTCAGGTTTCTAATAAATACAGAGGTGTACAAATCACTTCAATAAATCACTCTATGTTCCTGGGCTGGGAAGTTATTATCGCATGTATCTAATTGTCACTTCTTTGTATTTCCTATGTTCTTATTATCTTAGCATAGTCTTAACACCTGTATTTCCTTCTGTATAATCAACACTTGACCTGTATTTAACATCACGCAAGGACTCATTATAAGCTCCGCTTGCATATGAGTATAATGAAAGAATAATAATAATAATAATAATAATAATAATAATAATAATAACTTATAGTATCTACTAAAGAATAAAGATTCTATAGTATAAGTAATATAGTGAGTTGATATTACTATCTATTTCAAAGAACTTATAACAGAATCTATTAATAAATTTCATAGTTAATCTGCTGAAGTTAACAAGAGTCAAAGAATATAACTCAATTTTAATTATTATTAACTACTTTATAAAGATAATCAGATATATTTCTACTTATAAAAAGATTAAAGCCTCTGAATTAACTAATCTGTTTTTAGATATTATTATTTATAATTATAATACTTTGAAATCATTGATAACAGATTAAGAATCTCTCTTCATTAGTAAATACTGATCAGCTTTTTACTATTATCTTATAATAAAACATCTTCTTAGTACTGTTTTTCATTCACAGATAGATAATCAGACTGAATATCAGAATCAGATACTAGAACAGTATCTTTAAATATTCTATTTATATTATCAGAATGATTGACTTAAACATCTTCTAATCACTGAATTTATATATAATAATGTAAAGAATGCAATCTTAAAGATATCTTCTTTCTATACTTATTATAAATATAATTCTTTATTACTCAGTAATGTCATGAATAATATTTTAAAGAGAGAAATAAACAGTCAGAATGTTAAATAGATATAGAGAATAGAGTATCTCTCAGTATTAAAAATAAAAGTGAGATTGAAACTTTTGAATAAAATTTATAAGAAGATAGTGAAAAGTATTCACTATATTCAGAAGTAATAGATAAAATACTATAATTAAAAACATCTTTCAATGAAGTTTTTAATAGAGAATGAAGTACTACTTTCAGTAAAGAATATCAAGATAATAAGATTATATAAGAAGCTCAGTAAGTAATGACTAGAATCTTTCTCAGTAATAAGAGTAATAAGTAAGCAGATATATGAGTTAAAATTACTCACAGAATTGAAATTAATTTATTCTGTTTTTCATATTTTCTATTTAAAACTCTATAAGTAATGCTCTGAGACAGAGCTGTCTCAGCTGAATAATATTAAAATTGAGAGTAATACTGAATATCTTATGAAGAAAATATTAAATAAGTGAATATATTATAGTAAGCTTTAATATCTTGTGAAATAAGAAGATTATTTATTATCAGAGAATTTATAAGAACTGCTTAAATATTTAAAAAATACTAAGAAAGAGATTATAAGTTATAAAATAACTAGTAGAGACTGCTCTATTACATATCAGAGATATTAAGTAAGAAATACTACTTAAAACTTCTTATTTTTTTTAAAGAGTTTTTTTAGAGATAATCTTATAGTAATAAGCTGATATTTTATAAGCTCTGTAGTACTCTTCTTCTATTTTCTCTCAAAGAGTTTTTTAGAAGTTTAATAAGACTATATAGGTGTAAAATTCCTGAAGTAATTAGAGAAAAGAGATATTTAAAATTAATAAAAAAGATTAATATTATTAATTTATAAGCTGCTACTATTCTAGTGAGGCTACAGCTCACTGAAAAAGTAAAAAGAGAGATTAGAGTCTACTTATCAATAATTATATCTCTATTAAACTTATTCTTCACTATTGAAGTTTCTGACACTAGTATTTTTACCTGCTGAGAAGTTAGCAGCACTGCAGAAGAGTATGAGAAATGCATAAAATATTAACTTATTCACTTACAAAGCATCTCAGTTATCTGTTTCAATTGAAGTGAGATTCTCTTTAATTAGCAATTAATCTCTGTAGTACTTTTAACAGTGATATCAGTTAATCTCTTCTTAAGATCAGTCATTCTGAGATGTTTTTTCATCTCAGAGATTCATACTTTTATCTTCTTTTATAAATGAGTAAGAGAGATCTTCTCAGTTTTAATAGAATCTGTTAATACTTAAAGCTCTGAGACTCTTACTTTGTACTACTTAAGTATCTGAGCTTCTTATCAGAGCTGATATAACATCTTCTTGTAAAGTAGATAATACTTACAGAGAGACAGAAGTTGTTATTACAGATATAACAGAAATAACAGAAGTAAGAGAAGAAGCAGATATATAAGATTTCTCTCTTTTTCAGCTGCTTATAGACTGACCGTGTGACCGTGTCTGAGATCAGAACCAGAATTTTTGATAGTCTCATTATCAATTTAACAGATCTCATTACATGGTTCTAATATTAGATAGTAGTCTCATACTGTCTCAGTGAGACTTACTGTCTACTCTTATCATATTTTTCAAATAAGATCATGATTTTCACTTCTTAATTTAAATTATTTTTATTGATTTAAATGACTTTAAATCTCATTTAAGTGTTATCAAAAAGCATTACTTTTTAAAAAATTAAAAATAGTCTAAAAAAAACCTTAAAATGTCTAAAAATAGTAACTTTATGCTAAGAATGAGACTAAATGAGATCAAATGAGACCACTTTCTTATTTTTTTCAAGTCATGATTTCATTTTGAGATTTGATATATAGTCACTTTACATGTTTATTTAATGATTAGTCCCAGCAGGATTCACATCAAGAAATGTATGAGACCAGACCAAATGGGATCAAATGTGAAATTCATGGTCCCGGCGGCCAGTCTAGCAGCTTAACACAGTGCAGATAAGCAGGGCTCAGGCGTGTCGCGGGAGGGGAACTACAGATTGAGCTTCTCAGAGTCACTGTCCCCGGAACCAAGCTCTCCCCAGGTTCCTCTCTGAATGACCACACAGGATCATACATCACTGTGTTAGCTGGGGGGGGGGGGGCAGCGTCGCAACAGCGGCAGGGGGGGCAGGGGGAGAAAAATGTGTCACAGAGGGGGGGATCTTTTCAACAAATCCTGCCACTACTGTTAGCTTTGCCCCTAAAAACACATCACTTTTGCAGGGAATTCCATACATAGGACAGAATATGATGGGAGATCTGCAAGTCACTTGTTAACTACATTTTCCACATCTCAAATCAATATATAAGGAACCCACTTACCACGCGTTTGGTTTGGATGAAGATGAGAAAAGGAAGACCTACACAGTCAGCAGAAAAACTCACCTATTTCTTTATACCACACGCAGCACACACACTGTCAATCAGTTGACAACTGTTACTATACAACAAAGATAACTCTTAATCCAGTAATCTTGAGGGCATCAGGACTATGCTCTTAAAGGGGAGGGCATTGTCACGCCCCCGGCCGCGCCAAGGCCCCGCTGCGGTTCCACACAGCCCATCACTTCCATGTGGATGATTCCATTCATCCCGCAGGCCATCCGAACCAGTTTCCAACCACCCTATGACATCATTCAGATATATCATAGGAAGATCCAATTGATGAATATGAGAACCCCGCTTCTATATGAGGTCAGCAGATTACTCTTCCTTGGTAATGAGACGCCGCTGAGGTATCGCTCCGGCTATTCTCACTCATGGAATGGGAGGAGGGTATCCGCCCATTGTCTATATAGAATAGCTAGATGCTGGCTCCTCATCAAAGGAGCCAGTGATTCGTTTTTCTTCTACTGAAATATATACAAGAGTTACTGCGTGCCTCATACAATCTTCTTAGTATACTAAGTACCATATCTGTGATATCCTCGCAATAACCCTGTAGCCTACGAGCTCGCTATTCAAGCAAGATAGTCAAGCCCACCCATACAGCTTCCCAAACAACTACCCCTATGTGACGCCGCCGACTAGCCACCGCTTCGGTTCCGTCACGTTACAGATCTTCTGTTTCTATTGAAGCCAAATCTCTTTTTACTATACCTCAAGATTCCCTGAGTTCTGCAGCTCTATGGAACGCCATAGCAGCATCCTTTTCAGAACAGGTGGAAATCCGCAGAGCCCGCCTGTCCAAGGAATTCAATGATATCAGTGCGACTGCCTATATGATAACCATGATAACCCACGATAACCAGGCCACCGAGTGCCTATATGATAACCATGATAACCCACGATAACCAGGCCACCGACTGCCTATATGATAACCATGATAACAATAACAATAAAATGACAAAAATATGAGAAATGAGACCCCACAGTGTTCGGATGACTGAGGGAGCAATACAGATACAGAAAGAATGGATTTGAGCATTTTTTCTTACATATTCGCGTGTATTTGCATGTATGGAGCTAGTTCTTATGAGAAAACTAGACTCCACTTTGTGTAATTAATTATTATTGCAGATTTGAATGATTTGGGCGCTTTTGTGGCTGCGTGGGCTAGATGGCCGGCGCAGAATGGGGGGGTGTTGGAGGTTCTCCACTGGCCCTCACCCACGTGACCCACACATATATCCATGGATTAGTTGCCGCTAGCACTAGAATAATCAACCAAGTCCAACCTCTTCTACATTGTGCGAGGTCAGGGTCATGATTCTGTAACAAGGTCAAGTGGCGCACTTAGCGAGGTCAAGTTTTCTGTATACACCCAACATTTTCTGTATACACGACACCGCCTGATGACTCAACAAGGAAATGCTGAGGTAATACGGCTCTTCTCCTCATCTGTGTCGGCGGTGTTAGCTCTCCAACGCACTGTCCGCGATCCTTATTCATTTCTTGCAGCAACATGGCACCTGTATTTTCCCAGCATCGCCATCAGTCATCGCTTGAGGGCATCATCAACTTTTCCGGCCCTCAACCCTTCGCAGCGGATCAGCGCGCCCGGGCTCAGCGCAGATTCTACAGTATTATAAACCATTTTGATATAACAGATAACAGTAGAAGGGTTGGATACAGGCGCCCTCTACTCGTCCGCTATACCTATGAATATTCGCGTTCTGAGTTATCGCAAGATATCTTTCTACGTGCCTTCTTCGAATTTATGAAGGTAGATGTCGCTGGCGAGGAAGATATTGACTTTGATGATGAGGGACTGGAGAATCAGTTGGGCAAGAACTTGATCACCTTCGCAGACTTCCTACTAGATAATTTCTTTCTGCCACGTCTGGTCCCTATCCGCCGCCCTGTTAATCCCTCCGATTCTGCTAACCTTTTTATAGTCAAAGCTTCCGGCCAGCACACTCCGCAGCCCTCTCCTGCACACCTTTCCGCAATCCAAAGAGCACAAGGAGGAATGCATGAATTTACTGGGACGCCAGACCGAATATCAGTCCTTCGGGGTTCTTGCCTCATCCGTGACCGCCATCGTTGCGTGATCTCTCGCAAGTTCGATCAGCGAGAAGCAATAGTTCGTCTGACACAACATGGCCATGCTGCTCAAGATGACGAAGGGAATCCGCTCCAGGGACAGTTATCTATGATTTTAGAAGTGGCCCATATACTTCCACATTCCCTGACACAGGCAAATGCAGATTCTCAATTGGTGAGCCCCCTTGTCAAAGATAATCTTTCCTTTGACTAAATGACATGATTAGGATGATTCCAAAAAAGCCGCACTCATGATCCTTAACATGTTTGACTGTGATGTTTCACACTTAATTGATGGTGTCAATATTGACCGGCCGTTTAATGCTATGAGTCTTACCCGTGATCTCCATACCCATTTCGGCAACTTTACTGTTTTCTTTGAAGCTGTTCCTGACCAGGAGCACACCTACCGAATTGATACGTTCCTTCCTCCAGGAATCTTACCAGATATCCCTGTTACTCGCATACTCTATCTTATAAACGACCGATCAATAGAACCCCCTTCACCCCGGCTCCTTGCCCTACACCACGCCATTGCTCGTATTCTTCACCTTTCTGGGGCGGGAGAATATATCGATAATATTCTCCGGGATATGGAGGAGACGGGTATACAGGAGGATGGGTCCACAGAACTCGGCCGTATGGTGAATTTGACATTGGGTGGTTGGCTAGATAGCGTGGTTGATTCCTATGCCTAGCCCTTGTGCTATCCCTAAGGAACAGGATTATCCAAAGTCACATCAGATCAAAGGGATATTGAGTGATTAGCTCTGCCCGAACGGCGCGTTCTTCCGCCTTTCGCTTGCCCCCCTCTGCCTTTTGGCGCGCACGTTGCTCTTCCTGTAGTAAGCGTCGAAGGTCTTCGATACTTTTCGATCGCTCCATGTTAGTCTGTCGATTCGACTCATTCCTCGACATCGAAAGGGCGCACCTCCTGCACCTTCTGCTTCCCCTGCTCTACCTTTCGGCGCGCCCGTTTTAGGTAAGCGTTGAAAGTCTTTGATATTTGTTCTTTTGTCATCGGTTCAACTGATTCCTCGACATCAAAAAGAGATTAAGGTAGCATCTCGTCCCAGAGAAGGAAGATGAAGGCGGAAAAGCAGCGCATTTTTGTATCCAAATCATGGGACAAGGTGAGATGGCTTGGCACGGGGCGACAAGATGCAGGGAGGCGTCCAGGGCTCATGCAGCTTGTCGCCCCATAAGAAGCAATTATGGTACCAAGTCTAGCATGTCGGTTAACCTTTATGGCAGGGAATATAAAGGCGCGCTTGCTCCCACCGAAGATGCAAACACCTGCGTGACCCCTTTACACCAGCCGCTATTACGGATTGTTTCGGGCCCCCATACACAATCGTTCTTTTACCTGTGCGCACATTCCCTGACATCTTTGACAGATGGCTTCGTCTGCCAACAGATGGGTGGTGCTACCTCCGGGAGACCGACACAGCCCGCCGTACAGCTCGCGGTACAGCACCTCCATTCCACCTTATATGCCATCTGAAGGCAATCCTCAACAGGCGACGAACAGCATGGCCTACAGTGGGGTCTTCAGCGTACAAGGCTGTAGTTATCCTCCTAATACAATACAATCTACTCCGGGAGTTTCCGATAGTTTCCTAGTACCCCCGCATGCAATGCGACCGTTTGCCCATTCGCATGGGCAGTCTATCCCAGACGCTCCCAGCGCCTCCGCCACCATCAATGGTATTGACGGTGCCTACTCTTCTAGCGCCTCCACTGAGAAGAAAGCTCCACGCGCAAAGCTGGTGGGATTTGGCTTCACTTGAGACCTCAGCCCGACGATTTAGCTAATTATTTATAGGCATGTGATTATTGTCGGACTAGAAAAGTAAGATGTGATGGGACGCGGCCTTGTGCTTTCTGCACAGAGAAGAAGGTTGATTGTGTTTACACACGTTCACTTCCTCCCAGCCTGTGAGCCAATCGTAACTGTCGCTCTTTCTGGAGGCAATAGCTAATTGTTGGTGTTGGGGAATTCCAGAGGAGTCCAGGAAGCACTTAACGAAATTCGCCAGCAGATTGATGGTTGCCCGGGAGACGCTTCCGGGACCCTAAACAAAGGCCTAGAGGCTTCAGGATACAAAAATTGATGGCCTTTGTCCAACCAAGGGTCTATAAGTTCTGGTTTGTCTGGGAGGGCTCTGGTCTATGCGGTGCGCCCCCTCCTTAATCACAGATAATGAATCACCGGTGTAGCCTCGAAACTAATATAAAAGCTCGAAGGAAAACCATTGAATGGTTGACAGCTTGGATTGAGATGCGAACTGTAATTAACCAATAAAAAAATACTTTTGCTTTTGTCGCGGGGACATTATTAGTAGGAATGTTACAGCTTGCGCCAGGTAGTCAATGTGATGTGAAGTAGACTGGCCGGCGGGACCATGAATTTCATGTTTGATCTCATTTGGTCTGGTCTCATACATTTCTTGGCGTGAATTCTGCTGAGACTAATTATTAAAAAAACATGCAAAGTAACTATTCATCAGATCTCAAAATGAGATTATAACTTAGAAAAAATGAGAAAGTAATCTTATTTAATCTCATTTAGTTTCATTCTTAATATAAAGTTACTATTTTTAGACATTTTAAGATTTTTTTTAAACTATTTTTAATTTTTTAAAAAGTAACACTTTTTAATAATACTTAAATGAGATTTAAAGTTATTTAATTATTATTATTATTATTTTTCTTTAATTATAGATATATACAGTCAGAGACTATAATATCTATTTAAGAACTTTGAATTCTCAGAGTTTTTTCTATATCTATAAAGTCAATTATTATACATTTATCAATTTCAGATATGTAAAATCAGAAAATTTCAGCTCAGAATATAAAAACTGTTTATAAATTACAGTATTTTAACATCTTCTGATACTTTCAAATTATTTGATAATATTATAATAAAAGAAAAGAGAATATAATCTTAAAGATAAATATATTAAATAAATAGATAGAAAAGAATAGAAAGAAAAAGATAAAGTAAAGAGAGACTATAATAAAATAAATTATTAAAAGATAATATATAGCTGTTTTAACAGATTATATCTGATTAATTTTCTTCTCTTTATATTCAGATATTTCTGAATTTAGTTATTTTCTTATAGCTGCTTAAGTTTCTGATAGAAAGTGTATTAAGTATTTAATTTCTATCTCAGTTGAAAATAAGAATCTGTAGTAAGCTGCGTCTAATTAATTATATAGACTATTTTATTACACTTTACAGATTTCTACTAAGACTTTGATTCTCAGTTCTCAATTCTCTGCTAAAAGCTCTGATTCTCAGTTACTAATTCTTAACTGAAAACTCATGAAATTTCTATTCTTTCACTCTGAAGCTTCACTATGTACATGTATAAATATTCACTTTAATTATTAATTTCTATACTTTCTCTTTCTTTTTCTTTTCTAATGTTTTTCACTTTATAATATAAGATCTACATATTATACTGATCTATTTAGTATAGACTTCTTACACTTGAAAAATATTTATTATCTTCTTATTGAAAATGATTACTTATTAAGAAGATATCTGAACATATAACAATGTATAAGAAATAGAAAAATAATTAATCAGTTAAGTAGATATTAAGTTCTTAGATAGAAGCTTACTTATCAGTCACTCTGACTCTGTAATAAGATCTTATAAAGAGAATAAGATCTTATAAAGAGAATATCAGTGAAAGATCTGAGAGTTCTGACACTTTAAATATATAAGATATTTATATAATTAGACTTCTTCAGATTTCACAGATATTATATATCTGATAAACAATATAATTATGTCTAATAATAACATAAAAGAACTCTTAAATGTGAGTATAAATGTAATATTACAGTGACTCTAAGTAATGTTGAAATTACAATAATAATAAATAGCTGATATACATACAAATTAATAATATTAATATGAGAAAATTTAACAATTAATTTAACAATGTGGCGGGCTGCGCCCGATCAATCATATAGACTATTTCATTACACTTCATAGATTCTTTCATTTCCAATCGCTGATCCGCAGCTGCTATGAATGCGCGTAGCATACACTCCGATTCTCAGTCATTTTCAATCATCAATTCTCAGCTGCTACAAACACGTGTAGTGTACACTTCAATTCTCAGCCATTTTCAATCATCAATTCTCAGCTGCTATAAACACGTGTATATTCTTCTGCTCTGAAGCTTCACCATGTACATCATCATATACACATATAAATATTCATCTTAATCACTGATTCTTGCACTTTCTCTTTCTTTTCTTCTCTAACATTTTTATCTTTGTTATATAAGATCTATCAATATTATATCAATCTATTCAGCATAGGCCTCTTACACTATAAAAATGTTCATTGTCTTCTTATTAGAAAATGATTATTCATGCATTGTCTTCTCATTAGAAATGATTATTTATTGAGAGATATTTAAATGCATAATAACATGTAAGAAATAGAGAAATAGTTAAACAGTTAAGCAGACACTGAGTTCTCAGATAGAAGCTTGCTTATCAGTTACTCTGACTCTGTAATAAGATCTTATAAAGAGAATAAGATTTTATAAGAGAATATCAGTGAAAGATCTGAGATTTCTGAAATTCAGATGTATAAGAATATGATTACACTTCTTCAGATTTCACAGATATTATATATCTGATAATCAATATAACTATGTCTAATAATAATATGAAACTCTTAAATGTAAGTATAGATGTAATACTACAGTGACTCTGAGCAATGTTGAAACTATAATAACAACAAATAGCTGATATACATGCAACTCAACAATGTTAATATAAAGAGATTTAATAATTATTACAATAAGAAACTCATGCAATTTCAACATCTACAGAATTGAATACAAAAGTGCTGAAAGAATGCTTAGATACTTCTGTATATTTCAATACTTCTGATCTCACTCTCTACTCATTATAAAGAATGAAAATGCTCATGAAACTGAATATAGATGAAGATTTTATCAGTTCATTAATTAATCAAGATTGATATATCAATGAATGATTGAAAGATCATATGAAACAGAAGTTTCATTCATGAATGAAAGTATGTGAATCAGTGTTATAAATATCTGATAATATTATGAGATATCTTGATATTCTGTTCTGAGATACTGCTATATAACAGAAAGTATTAGATTAATTACAGAGTGTCTGACAGAGAAACACTTCTCTTATAACATTCATTCCTGACTTCAATATCAAGATTCTAGAAGCAGGAGATGAGTCTTGGAAGAATTGAATAAAAATTAGCATGCTCAAGAAGACATTGACTTTCAAACTCTTACAGACTCTTATAAGTGCAGACAAAGACTTAACTTATAAAGACTTCTGCACACAGCTCTGAACATTGAATGATCATCTTACTAAGCTCAAGAGTATACAGAACAGTGACAGAAGATATTACACTTTAGTCACTTATACATCTGTACTGAAGAATAATGATGCAGAGGTCATGAACTGAATAGATTCAAATGTCTATATATAAGCAAGAGTTTCTGCTGTTCAAACAGGCTTCTGAGTCTCTGAGATCACTTCTGAAGAAGTCACTGATTGATGTCAATGTGAAGTGTGTATCAACTATAACTGATCAGAACACATTGCTTTCAACTGCTGATCAATCTATATATCTTCATACTTGAGAGAAAGATCAGTGTCTTCTCATTTAAAAAATAAATCAGTGTCTGTTCACATCAATCATGTTACATTAGAGAAAGATTCAGAGAATAACTATAAGAATGTCTCAGTGAAACAGAGAAAAGATTAGCTTCTGTTCAAATTTATAAACAGAAGCTTGAAGAGATCAGATAACAGCAATTTGAAGAGAAGATAACAATGAATATGATTCTTGTATCTACTGTGATTGATAATATGTATAATATGAAAGTCATGATAGACAGCAGTCTATGCCACTATGCAATGATAATATCTTCAGTTGTAAGACATCATAACTTTCAGTGTATCTCTTTATTAAAACTCTGATCTCTCACAGAATTTAATAATCTGAAAGATGTTTATACCTGTTATATAATGAAGCTGATCATAGATGTGAAAGAACATCAATATGAGAATGTCTATACATATGAAGTTGATAATCTTGATTACAATCTTATGTTAGAACTTGTCTAACTATCTGAACAAGGCATCTTGTTGAACACTTAAAACAGAAGCTTGATATTCTCTAACAATGATAGAGTTCATGAAGATAACATTTACAAGATCATGAATCAAACACAGATCTCTGTCAATATGTATAAAATACTCTGAAAAAGAAGTCATTATCAAAATCACTGATAGAGTCACTGATAAGTTTGCTGATAGCAGAATCATATATCAATCTATTCTACTAGTCTGACTGATATCAAAAAGACTCTAGAAAAGTTATTCTGTATTATAAGAACAGATTCTTGTATGAAACTCTCTTAATAATATCATGAATATCTAGATATCTTCTGATAAGATAATATTATTAATATACTTCTCTTATAAGGTTCTGAAGTGAATCACAGTATCAAGTTAGAAAAAAAGAATGATAAGAACTCTGAACTGCTATAAGACTCTCTTTATAATATATTATGAGATAAACTCCTTCTTCTTTGAAAGACACTTAATAATCTATTAAATATAGAATTTATATGTGTTAGCAACTCTTCTACTACAGCCTCTATTCTCTTTGCAAAGAAATCAGGTGAAGAACTCTGATTCTGTGTGAACTACTGAGATCTGAACAGATTGACAAAGAAAGATTGATATTTCTTATCTCTTATCAATGAAACTCTAGCACAGATTAAATAAGCTTAATAATTTATAAAACTAGATATTATCATCATGTTTCATAAGATTTGTATCACTGAAGAAGATGAATAACTTACAGTATTCTGAACATATTATAATCTCTTTGAATGAATAGTCACACTCTTTGAACTGACTAACACTCTCAGTACATTTCAGAAGTATATTAACTAAGTACTCTGAGATTTTCTTAATAAGTTTGTATCT